GTTTAATGATTGTGCCTGCTGAATGTCTTAGAAATCTTCCCGGCAGAGGCGAGTAAATAGAAGCATCCTTGTTGTGTGCGCGGCCCTGGCCGGCGGGCCGCGGGGCCGGGCGGCGGTGGGCGGGCCGGCGGGGAGCGGGCGGGAGGCCGGACCCGGGCGGAGGGAGGCCGGCCCGGCGCCAGCTCAGCCCCGCGCCCCGCGGAACCCCTGCCTCCGCGCTGGCCGCCTGCCCGCCGCCCCCGCCAGCCTCCTGCCTCCTGCCCCATCGCGCACCCCAAGACCCCAGAGCCCTTTGTCCCCCATCAGCCCTCATCTCCTCCGGAGGCAAAGGCCGCCTTAGAACTCCCAGCGAAAGGTCTTAAGGATTGATTTCCCACCGCCAGCGCCTCCGCCCAGGGACGCGGGAGGGGGGCGCCCCCATCGGAGCCGCTAGTGCCCGCGGCTGGGGCAAGCGGCTCCTCCCTGCTCGCTGCCCTCAGCTCTGGCTTCGCTGGGGGCTGCCTGTCTTCCAGGGTGGACAGAAGAGCGACTGAGGTCCCCGCAGGGGTTGGCCGGTTGCAGAGGGGTCTGGGCTCCTTGTCCTTCGTGCTCCAGAGCTTGGAGAGGGGTTTCTCTCCTCCGGAGGCCGGGAGCTGAGGTCCCGTCCCATCCTGAGTGGGCAGAAGTTTGATGGGTGTGAGCTGAGGGGGGCAGCTTCAGAGCTTAGCTTGCCAGCTCCGCTCCCTCGCCCCGGGCCTTGGCCCTCACCAACCTCTTACCCCTACTGCCCCCAAACAAACAGAAAAGGGACGCGTTAGTCCACTGGCCTCTGGTTTCTTTCCTCCCCGCGTTTCCTGCAGTTGCCTCCTCTACCCACTTGTCCTGGGGCACCTTCTCCCACGGTTGCCCCTCGAAGGCAGAAAACAATGTCCTAGGACCAACTTTGCAGAGTCCCGTGAAAAAGCCACGCAGCAGAAAGCTAGGAGATTCAGCCCCAGTAACCGGCCTGGCCTCCCACAGGCACCTCTGTCCCAGGTCACACGTGTCCCGAGGCCCAGCCAACTCCTCAGGACTCTAACCAACTGCCCCAGGGTGGCGACCAAACCCATGGTCTCCATTCTGTCCCAATAGCCACCTCTGCCAATCATCCCTGCCCCCCCCCCCACCTCCCTGCAGAGGGAAAGTGCCCAAAGACCCAAGGCATTGGGGCTGCTGTCCAACTTCCCCCTAAGAGTTGGGCGGCAGAGAATCGGGGTACTGGGCAAACACTCAGGAACCTGGGCTGGAGTACTGGGGACACAGGATCCTCCCACTTCTCCCCCCTCCCAGCCTGGCCAGGGCTCCCCGAGGTGGGCCCAGCAAGCCAGCAGCACTCACCGGCCTGGGCCAGGGGCTCCACCAACTTTGAAAGAATATTTTGTTAGGGGAGCAAACACACAAAAAGTTATTAATGCCCAATCACTCTCTTCAAAATCATGTGCTGTGGGTCATAAAAAACTGAGGTTTATCAAAGGCATGAGATTTCTCAAGAGGAGGAGGGAAAGAACTCCAAACTCTTTATACCAGGATTCGTCTTAACCTTAAAGCCAGGCGATCAACAAGGGCTAATTTGTGTTACAAACCCGCAAGAAACTTTTTCTTTTTCTTACTCTCCTCTGTCAAACTCGCCATGTGGCTTTTTTTCTTCTTCTTCTTTTTAAACAAACCCGGAGGAAACATTGATGGGAGGAAAACTATATGCTCCGAATAAAAAAGGATGCAGATCCAAATTTACTCCACAGCAAGGCTTGTGTCGCCTGAGTCCTGTACAGAGAGAGTTAATCGTACACAATTTATAACAATCAAAATCCTCTCCGTGTTGCTCAGATGGGGTCCTAAGCCCCCCTGTCTTTTTTAAATCGGAGACAAGTGAATCTTTGCAGGGCGTTTATTTCCTGTTTTCTGGATGACAGCTCCCCGTTCTGAGAGCAGAGAGCAGTTTGCCGCAGCTCCCACCCCCTCCAGAGCCCTGGCTCCTCACGCAAGAGCCGCAGATGGAGGTCCCCCACCCGCCAAGCCCCAGACAAAGAGCTATAAAAACTCAGAAAGACGTGGAAGGAATAAACTTTAAGATATAGGTGAACTTTTACTGGTGTCTTAAATAACATTTCAGACATTTTTAAAGAAGGAATACATCTTAATGTTATCAACAACCAGAAGTATAGGAACAATAAGAGAGAGAGGCCAGGGTTGTTTTGATGGGGTCTAATATTGTTTCTAAAACCTCTAAAAGCTAAGCCGAGCAGAGTTGTTATTAAGGTAAAGGAAGAGTGCTACGTGATAAAGTTCATTAACTTTTTTTCTTTAAAAAAAAGAGAAAGAAACAAATTTCCTAGCTTCCCACCAAATACAAGAACAACGTGGAAATATTCTGATTGTTTATCTCCACCACTAAGCAAAGCCTTCAAGAAAACAGAAAAGCTATTTTTTTCTGGCACTCCTGTGCCCACGGGAAAAGGGAGTGTTGAAATAGCTCTGGCCCAAGTTCTACAAAGGTGGGCAAGTGTATTCCATGATTTGCTAGTGGCGAGCCCCTGCCACTTTGAATTATTTCCCCTCCTGAACCCAGTGTTGGGGACAGGAACCAGGAGCCCTGGTGCTCTCCCAGCACCCACTGCCCCCTGTTAATAGATTATATATCACTGAAAAAGTAAACTTTACTGGATAGAGAAAATGTGTGCCATTCAGCTGTACATCTCATTTAGTTTTATGGTCAAGATTCATCCCTATTATTTCAAATGAATCTTTTTACTTTCATTTCAAATGGACCTGGTCCCCTTTGCCTCGCTGAAATAAACAAGCAGATCCAACGAAACACTTTTACCTTTGACCTTCCCTTTACCATCCTTCCATCTTTTTCGGTACAAACTCCATTCTTTACCTCATTCTTTAACTTGCCTAGGAATTTGATAGAATCTAGAACAGAGTCCTATAGACCGAATGAAAAACCAACAAAGACAAATCACAGAGGCCAATGATCAAAAGATAATTTCTCTCCCCCAGTAGCCCAGCACTCTGGAGCTGCTTCCATAGTAAGGCAAATGAAAGGCAAATGGATGCAACATATAGACCTACATGTGCAGGTACCTGTGCTCTCACACGCGCCCCACCCCCCCCTCATTGTTGCTGATGCATCTCTTCATTAATTGTTTTTGGAGAAACAAGTAGGAAGATGAGCACATTTATGAAAGCCATTTCACCAGAAAAATAACTGCCAACTGGTGTGTGGCTCCCACTGGTAGGAGCAGGAGGGCAAGGAGAGGAGTCCTTTTGTTGCTGCATCTGGAATATAGAGGAGGTAAGTTCGTGGGAACCGAGAAGGTTTACAAGTGCCGAGCACAATATTATTAGGGGCCATTCCCTCCGTCTGACCTTCACAGGACTCCTGAAGGATCCTTTCTCCCTCATCTCACCCCGTACATTTAAAAAGGGACAGATTCTGAGGAAACACGGGGACGCTTTCAGGATGGCTGTCTTCTGCATTATTGTCTTTAGGGAAAAGAAGGGGTTTGTCATTGTGTCTAGCCAACATTTAAAGGGTGACTGCCCCACAAATTTCTCCCAGAGGCAGGGATGGAGTTTTTCACCTTCGCCTGGAATACACTCCCCCAGACGGCATGGAAAGAGCTTGAATGGCTTAGAATCTGAGCGGCAAGCATGGGTCAAAACCATAGCGCGTCCGTTTAACACGTGATGGTTTCCAGTCAGTAGCCCCTGTGGCTAAGAACAAAAAACGCCTTCTCAAGGTCCACTGAAATGCCCTGCAGAGGGCAGATGCTGCTTGTTTTCTGCCTACAATGGAGGAGGATATTGACCCCGAACTCAAATCCATACCCAGCTTAAACATTTTACCCATCAGCATGTCTGCGGTCACAAAACACTCCTTCTTTCTGTCACTTTGTGTTCAGGCTATTGATAAGATCATTTGGCTGAATCAGTTTGGGACTTGTGTAATATTGACTAGGAGTTAGAAAAGATGATCAGATGTAATAAGCCCAGAAACTACCTTTCAAAATGGACATTTACACTAAAACCAACGTTCCAAGGAGGTCATCAGCAAACTTGTAAACTAACCCAGGACTGCTTGGGTCTCTCACTAACCTTCCAACTGATTTGGGTAAGTGTAATGTTCATCTGAAACAATCCGTTCTTAGCACCGCAGTCTTGAGTGTTCCCTACCTTCTTTCCTTGTTTTAGAGGCTGTTTGTTTGCCTAATGAGAAATAGACACTATTGTATATAAACCATCGCAAAATCCATCTTTTTCTCTGTAAACCTAACAGGAATAATACACAGGACCTGCCTCTATCACTTGGTAAACAAACATATTGCATACAACCAGAGTTGTTTTTTGAAAGGTATTTGAAAATCACTAAGAATCATTTCTTTAACTCAGCCTCATTTTTTCCATAGATCCAAATTATGTGAGGGCATGTGGGTAAAGATGAAAGTCCACCTAGTTCCACTGATATTCTCCAAAAAAACTAAAATCAGATCAGGGAAAGCTACCTGGAAAGAAGATCTGCATTTATTTAAAGGGGACAAACATCTCTTTGTCAGACCATGAAATGGCAAGCAAATTGAAGCTCAAACCCAATGACCATTTCAATTGAATGCTATAGGCATAGTAGTTGAATGGTTTGGGATTGATGGGGGGGTGGGGAGGGAGGTGGTTTGCAAAGAAAAGTGAATGAGAACAGTAGTCTCACTTAATAATAAAAAAAAAGCCTCTGAAAGTTATTAATGTGAAACCTGGCAGTATATGCATAAAATTTATTCCAAAACTTTATGAAGTATAAAGGAAGGGAAGTGTCTTACATACAACTCAACTCAGTCAGTATAAGGTCTAGGGTTTTTTCCCCTTAAAACTTGGCACTATTTTTAAAAATAAAATAAAGATATTTCAATAATTAGAACAAACTATGAAAGGTATTGTGCATTTCTGTTTTATGTAGATAATAAAATATTACTTTAACATAAATATATAAGGATCTCTGCGTTTTTATTTTCCCCACAAGCACAACCAAATGTACCCAAACAAAGTATTTTTAAAGAGACTGAACAAAAAAAAAATTACATCTCATATAGATTTTGCTCACCTACTCATTTAAAGCTACAGAAAAAACAGTTTTCCAGAACCTTTTTTGCTTTAAAAGAAATAAATATACATTGAGGCAGGCCACTTAAAAATGATATGAAAATATTTCCCTGGGTAGCATTAAAAAAAAAAAGAAAAATAGACAAAGAAACATTTAAACTATTTCTGCATTTCAAAAGACAGATATTAAACATATATACATAGTGGGAAGGTTCAGTGGTAACTTTCATCTTAGTAAACCTCTGAGAGTTGGGGGAGCTGTAGACACATCCCCTGAACCCCAGCTTCTAACCTTACCCACTTGGTAATAAGAATGTGAAAATTCATTTCCTCCCTTTACCCTTGGTTGTTTGCCCTGCTCTGGATTGCTTCATGAGAGGCCAGTCCCCACACCTCAGGGACAGGCAGTGTGATGCACCCCAAGCAGCTCCATGCCCATTTCCTTGTGACAGTCATAGGGGGAAATGAAATACAGGCAAGTAAATATGCCCATTATAAGTCATCATTTATCTTGCAAAAAACATTGAAAATGAAACCATCACTGGTGTTTGAAAAGACACGATAAAGCATATTTCCTAAAACCTTAACTACTGAGTGCAATGCTAATCTGATGCTGAACCATAATTGTATGGTATTGAGATTTCATTTTTTAAATAAAAAAATTTACCTAATACCTAACCAGAAAAAAAGCCCCGATCTTTTAAGATTAATTAAAAAAAAAGTGTTTTCCCTTTTAGCGCCCTTTTGTGCTGATTACTTTGAAATATTTTAACTGATCACAGTTTAATGGCATTTATTTTCAATACAATTACAGTTTTTGTTGTTGTTGTTGTTGTTTTTTTCACCTCCACTTCCCAGTAGATTCTTTTGTTATGGGAGTTATCCGTTTTCCATCAAGATAAGGTAAAAAATGCACTTGAAACTATTAACAAAGAGAGAAAGGGAAGGATTCAAAATAGCATTTTTTTCCCCTTCTTCATTTGGCTTCTTTAGTGAAAGAGGGGGTGGGTGGAGCTGTCCAAGTCAAACTGATATTTTCTATAATGAATTACAGGAGAAGAAGGTATGGGAACTTAAATATAATTTGATATACAAATGAGCTAGTAAAAACAAAACCAGTCTAGATCGGAAATATTATTCTCTGTATGCATGTGGGTATTTGTGTGTTAAGAAACACAGTCGAGGCATACACCATGAAGTTCCCAGGTTATTTTCTTTATGTTTTTTTAAAGCTATTAAAGGAACAAAGTTTAACTGCTACTGTCAGCACAAATAATTCCTTCTAAATGAAGTTATTAAAACGGAAGGCAGAGAACTATACAGGGGGGTGTCTGGAGATACATATTTCCCTCATTCTCTTCAAAGTGCCACTTTCTTTCTGTTGAAAATATACTTCACCTCCACATATCCTCTGAGCTCCTTCACAATGGGCCCGCTTGGTAAAATGAAGCAATCAGTCACTCACTATCAATTTTTTCTTTTTCTCCCCTCTGCAACCTCCCCCAGAAACACTGCCTGAAAATGAAGTTTACTTTGTGACTGATAACAAAAAAAAAAAAAAGAAAGAACGAAAAAAAAAGCCAACCAAAAAATAATAATAATGCTTGACTCATTTCTGTATTCCAAACTGGATTTTTGCCTTGTTAAAGAGGGTAGACCATGCACATTTCCTGAAAGCAGAGAATTATTTATTTTGTATGGAGCAAATCATTTTGCTTTGGTAAAAGAAGCAAATAAAAGTTACACCAATGGAAGGGAGGAGAGGGGATCTGAAGGTAACCAAAGTTCACAAGTGATAAGAACAAGTGGTTACATGGGGACATTAGAAATGGAGAGTGGCCAAGAGCTGGCTTCCACTCTTTCCTCTGAATAAACAAAACAAAACACAGACCACAAACCGCGGCAATTTCAAAATGAGCGGTGGAAGAAAGAAAAATGTCTTCGTGAATTTGTTCATGTAAACTTCAATTTTCTTGCAGTGCAAATTTGTGTGGTGATATTTTGCCTGCGCTAAAGAACGTGTGTATTTTTTCCTCTTTCCTGATGGGGATCCACATGAAATAAACACAGCAGCATGTGCCAACTCGGGCATTAGGAAGCTGTGTTTTGTATTTATCACGGCTTGGTAGATTTTTGTTTTTGGTAATTATTTAGTTTTGCCAGGTATTCTCTCTCTCTCTCTCTCTCTCTCTCCTCTCTCTCTCTCTCTCTCTCTCTCTCTCTCTCTCTCTCTCTCTCTCTCTCTCTCTCTCTCTCTCTCTCTCTCTCTCTCTCTCTCTCTCTCTCTCTCTCTCTCTCTCCTCTACTCTGTGAGACACTCCACTCCATTGCCTGGGTACTAGCCTGTAAAGGTCAAAACACATCATTACACCTGCTACCATTTGGATAACCCAGTGCCTTAGTTGCTTTCCTTATTATTATTATTTTTTTTTTCCTCTTAAGGGACGGGGAAATAATAATTAAAAACAAAAGAACAGTCAGAAGTTAGAGAGGGAACAGGGGGCCGGGGAAGGGCGGTGGGCCAGAGGGGAGGGAGAGCCCCGCGCTCTGCCCCTCCCCCGCTCGAGTTCACTGGACGGGCGTCTGCACCCCGTGGTGTGGTGGCGTGTCCCTACTCCCCCCGTACACATCCTCGGCGCCCGGCAGAGTCCCTCCGGGAGGGGTCATCCTTTTCTCTTTCTGTCTCCTGTTACAAAACCAAACTCTCACCACCTCCTTCTCCAGCTGTAAGCTGTCCGCGAGGGAGGTGATCTCCTGGGCCGAGGGCTTGGGGCATTTGAGGAAATGGCTCTCCAGAGCCCCCTTGACGCTCACCTCGATGGAGGTCCGCTTTTTCCTCTTGCGCCCCTGCGCCGCGATCTTGTCTATGCTGGTGGGGCTGCCCGAGGACGAGTCCGCCTCCTCCAACCACTTGTTCAACAAAGGCTTCAGCTTGCACATGTTCTTGAAGCTCAGCTGCAGGGCCTCGAACCTGCAGATGGTGGTCTGCGAGAACACGTTGCCGTACAGGGTGCCCAGCGCCAGCCCCACGTCCGCTTGGGTAAATCCCAGTTTGATCCTCCGCTGCTTGAACTGCTTGGCGAACTGCTCCAGGTCATCCGAGGTCGGCGTGTCCTCGTCCGAGTGCGGGTCGTGGTGGGCGCCGGGGTGGCCCGGCGGGCCCTGCGGGGGCGGCGGCGGCGGCTGCTGGTGCGGGTGCGGGTGCGGGTGCGGGTGGTGGTCCGCGTGGTGCGGCTCCTCGTGCGCGTCCCGCAGGCCGTGGTGGTGCAGCCCCGCCGGCTGCCCGCCGGCGCCCAGCATGCCGTTCACGGTGAAGCTGGGCTGCGAGTAGAGCAAGCCGCCGTTGGCCGCTCCCATGGAGGGCGGGAGGTGCGCCGCGGCCGCCGCGCTCCGCCATGCCCCGGGCCCCGGGTGGTGGTTGGCGGCGTGATGCACCAGATGCGGCGGCCGCTGCTGCTGCTGCTGCTGCTGTTGCTGCTGCTGCTGCTGCTGTTGCTGCTGCTGCTGCTGCTGCTGCTGGTGCTGCTGCTGCAGGGCGCCCGGCCCGTGCAGCTCGTCGCCGCGGCCGCCCTGCTGCACCACCACCGAGGGCTTGATGTCCGGCTGGCCCAAGGGGCTGGTGGACCACGGGGAGCCGTCGCCGCCGCCCCCGCCGCCGCCCCCGCCCCCGCCGCCGCCGCCGCCGCCCCCGCCGCCGCCGCCGTGGGACAGCGCGGCGATCCACTGGTGAGCGTGGCTGAGCGGGTGCCCGTTGCTCTGCAGCGCGCCGTAGTCGCCCTGCACCAGGCTCTGCGCCTCGCGGTAGCCCCCGGCGCCCTGCTGCATGCCGCCCGGCGGCTCGGCGTGCACGATGGAGGCGCTGGAAGTGAGCAGGCTGTAGTGGTTAGACGCTGCGGTCGCCATGACTCTCGGAGCCGGACTGGGCGCTCAGGTTAAAGGAGCCGCGCATTTGACAGTTACTTTTTCGCCTCGGGCTCTCTTCTCTCTTCCCTGGCTCTCTCGCTCGCTCGCTCTCTCTCTCCTCTCCCCCAGCGGGCAGCTCGACGACGCCTGCTCCGACGCCTTCTGCGGCTGCTCCTGCTATTGCTGCTGCCGCCGCCGCCGCCGCCGCCGCCACTGCCTCTCGCCCGCCCTCGCTCTTTCTCCTCCTCTCCCTCCTTCTGGCTGCGCTCACTCTCAGACTGGCTCTGCGCGCCCCCCTCTCCCCGTGCTCTCCAGCTCTCTCCCGCTCTCTTGGCAGCGCCGGCTCGCGGCGGCACGCGCCGGGGCCCCGCCCCCTCCGCCCCCTCCCATTGGCTCCGCGCCCTTTGATTTACGTGGATACCACTAGCAACCTCCCAGGCCGGCGCCGCTGATTGGCGCAGAGCTACTCCTCCTCCTCCTTGCCCCCCCCTCCACCCCCCGCCTCCGGGGCGCTGAGTCCTCCTAGCCCTCCTCTCGTGCCCCCTCGCCACTGATTCAGATTCTCTTAGATCTCACCTCCCCTTCTTCTCCACCCCGGGGCCTCCGCCGCCCATCTCCAGAGGGCCCCGCCCCCCATCTGTCTCCCCAGCCGACTGGCCGGGAGGGGGTCGGGGTTTGGGGGCAGGGGCTGGCTCCTGCGCACTATGGATCTCAACCGCTTGGAAGAATTGGGTGGGTGGATGAATAGGGGGTGTCGATCCACCTTCTTTTCCTTTTCCCTATAGGGCTGAGGCGGCGGGGTGGCGGGGAGCGGGGGCGGGGGGTGTGAGGGCGCGAGGGGGTGAAGAAGGAGGGAGGAAGAGAAAGGCAGAGTTGCACCGAGCCAGGAGGCGTCTGATTTTTATTCACCTTGGGACGTATACATACCAGCGTCTCTTAAACCTACAATCAGAAGCCCGACTTCCTTTCCCCACACGGTTAGCATTTCAGTGCACGAGTGTTTCTTGCTCCAGGGGGTGCGGACACTTTTGCCCTCGATAAAGGTCTTTCCCCCTCCACCCAGACGCTAGCGCCGGCTCTCCTCCTTTTAGGTTCCAGGTCCAATTGTCTCCCACCCCTGCACCAGAGCACCCCTCTCCCCTCCCTGCAGAGGCAGGCTCAGCCCGCGCATCAGCTTGGGAGAGACTCCCGTTTGCAGGCGCTCTCTTTGACAGCAGCGCTGCGGGCCGGACCGAAAGCAAAACAAAACTCTCAAAGTCGATGTCAGATTCCCACACTAGGGCGCGCGCACCGTTTTTAGTTTCGCAAACGGGGAGTCTGCGCGCAGACCGTCGCCTTGTGCGGGGCCACAGGAGCGCTGGCGAGGGGTGCTGAGCCTCCCTCCGGGGTGATGGAGGCACCCAGGGCCGCCCCGGAGAAGCCGAGCCACGGGTGCTGCGTGAGCGCTTCCCTCCCTGCACTCCTGGCGCTTTTCGGTGCCACTTCCCCGTTAGCGGCTAGGATGGGGAGGAAGAGTGTGTGATTGAAAGCTAGAGGAGCTTTCCTAACCAGTAACTTCTGTGGACGCCAGTGGGTGGGGTTGGTCAAACTCTCAGGCGCTCTCCCTACTTAGTCTTAGGTCCTGAACTCCACGGAGAGGCCGAGGGACGGTGCACCGGCGGCGCCAAGCCACTCGGCGCGAGCACAGCGCGCGGTCCGTTATCCTAGCCGGCCAGGCGGGCAGGTGTCTGCAGCCTTTGGGAGCCTGTGTGTCCGCTAGGAGAGGCCTGGGCGCGGACCCAGGAGGAAACATCGGACTGCCAAGGAGGGCCAAGCCAGTGGCGGCGCCTATGACTTCCAAACGAATCACAGGTTGCTGCTGGGGAAGGGCCAAGGGATCTCAAGGAACTTGATCGCGTTTCCCCCTTTCCCACCTCGGCCCCTCGTGTCCTCTTGGAGCTCACGCCGGTGCTGCCGGCGGCCATGGGTTTGCGAAGGAGACCGAACCAGTGCCAACGTTGTTGGAGCTTCTGGGCATCCTGATCAAGACACCAAAGTAGAGCGGACTAGGGAATTCATCATGACTAACGAGGAGCGGAGGGGCTCTTTGGGGAGTGGCTGATGTGTTTATAAATCACCACGTTGAGCACCCGACGGGGCGAGGCACTTTGGCTGCGGATTTCCACGTGCCCCGTGCTTATTATGAGCGTGTGGGTGGGAGAGAGCGAGCTGGTGAGGGGAGGGCCGAGCCCATGGGCTGCCAGCGGGACGGACCTGCAGCCCCGACACGCGCACCCGCGCGGCCAGGCGGGGACGCACACCGGGAGCTGCGGGGCCGCCGCGCAGGCAGGAGCCGTTCTGGCCACGCGCCCAGGGGCCGGCTGCTGAGAGTCCGGCAGCTCTGGCCAGCTCCGAAAAGAGGGGAAAACGTCCGAGGCTTGAAGCGCGGCAGCTCCTCCATGAGGAGGAGCGAAGAGACCTGGCAGCTGCCTGGCCGCCCCAACTGTGGGCGCACGGCTCCCCTGGGGCTTTGGGAGAGCACTGGCCGCTTGCCAGCCGCGTCAGGTCGTGGCCTTCGGCGACCTTCTCACCCTCCTCCCCCAGCTCCCACCACGCCTCTCTTCCTCCCCGCTACCTCCCGGCTGGGAGATTTAGAGCTCCCACAGATTGAAGAATCCAGCCTCCGGGAAGGGCCGCGTCCGGACACGAAGCAGCTCCCCTCTCCTCCCCGTTCTGGGGCAAGTGTCTGCTTCTCTCCAGATTTGATTTCCCATTTCTCTAGGGACGAGCCCCTTTGCAGCCTGTGGGGTGATGCACTTGAGCGAAGAAAAAAGGTTTCCAGGCGCATCTCTGCGGGAACCGAGACAGCAGGACTTGGAGCCCGTTTGAAAGCCCCCCCCCCCCCTTCTCTCCTTCTACTCCCACCCCCGCCCCCACCTCGGGCTTAGGGCGCTGATAAGTGTCCGTGGAGGTGGGCAAAATAGGCTGCACGTGTACAGGAAAACTTCCTGTCTGCCTTCCTAGGGACTTCACTGGAGATGACTGTTCCACGATTCATCCTGTTTGACGTCTCGAGTCTCCACTCCACCCCCACCCCCGCCTCTTTTTTTACTTGCAGGCGGCAGAGCCGAACATTCCCAACCGGGTCAGCTCTGGTAGTTCTATGAGATTAACACACCCAATAAATCCTCGGGAGTACACAAAGCAAGCTCTACCCCCGGACTCAGACTCCTTCCCCCCCCCCTCTTACCCCCACTCCGGGAGCCGGGCCAATCGCCAGGAGGCGCGCTCTGAGGCTCTGGGTACCACCTCCCCCCAAACCACCCCAGCCTCCCGGCCAGTTGCCGGAGGCCCGGTTGGCGCGAATGGCGGGTACTGAGTAGCTTCTGCTCCCAGTCCGCCTCGCCTCGGTGTCTCCCTGGGACTCCGGAAACCTGGGCACTCGGAGGCTTTACCTCCAGAAGGGGGCTTCTTGGTCCGGTTACTCTCCCTCCGCCCCCAGCGCCAGCGCCTGCGCCTTTCTTTGCCTCTGACCCCGCCAGGGCAGAATCCGCTTGTCCGCCTGCCTTCCCCCCACCCCTCCAAACGCATAAAAGAACGTTGAAGGTGTCTCAGAGACACCTCCAGGTTTTGATTTAGCTCATTCCCTTTCACTGTTCAAAGCCGCTGTTCAAATACAGAGGCTGCTTAGGTTGACGTGGAGAGGATTTCAAACAAGCCTAAAATGCTTTGAACTGACAAGGTGTCTCCGTGTCTCCCTCACTCCCGAACAGCTCCCCGAGATCACTCTCTAGGACAATGGATGCGCAGACGGTTCCTGCGGGCCTCACAGCCTCGGGAGCACACTGCGGGGTCCCCTGGGTACCCTCCTCAAGTACTGGCTCGGGGCTCCTGAGAGGAGATCTTGGCAAGAGTGCCGGTCTATTCCCTTTCCCTAGGAAGGACTCCCTCTACTCAGTTGGATTCCTGACTTGCACTAGCCTGAAGAAATGGTGAGAACTCCCTCCTGCTGGCTTGGAGAGGAAGAAACTCAGCTAATCAGAGTTTAGCCCCCCAAACCAGTATTTGTCCCACCCCTCAGAAAGAACGAGGCCCCCAGCACCCTCACCCAAGGCCCCTAACGTTACCTCACCAGAGCAGCTGTGACCTTGGGCATTAATGCGATCAGGCCTGTGACTGGGCCTGATGGGACCGTTCTGTACACCCCAACTTGAACTCTAATTTATTAACTCGTTCATCTAGCAAACACTCACACCATATGTCAAATGTCATTTATTTATTCCTATAACTTAGGATTTGACAGAAAAACCACCATACACTGAGCTGAAAGAACACAGATATTAAAATAGAGGTGAGATGATATTCATTTGATAGAGCTTTATTTAGTACCTATGTATTCCTACAGTAATAGAAATAGAGATACAAAGGACATTTTCTTAGGAGGTGGCAACACAGGTCAAAATGCCTCCTGGTATTTTCTCTAAAATGTATCCACTGTGGATGAGGATTGTTCAAATCCCTTCTCCTTCTCCTTCCCCTCTTTGTCTGTCCTTGTCATTCATTTCCATCTGTCACCCCTGCTGGCTCCAGGATGTGGTGGAGAGCTCCCCATAGTTGAATGGAACTTCTTTGCGGAGGGCCTACAGAACGTCAAACTGAGGCTCCCACTTCAGAGCTGCAGCTTTAAGCAGCCAGCGCACACAAAGAGGCAGCTGGCTGCTTTAACAGAAACCTCCTTAAAGCTTCAAGAACGGCAAGCTCAGGGAGCATTTATAAGCATGAAAAATGCTTTTTCAAGTTGCCAGTTTTTTTGAGAAATACAATCAACATTTACTGTTAAAAAGGACAGAAATTAACATCTTTAACTATGTAGCAGCGCAGTGTAGCCTAAATTTAAAAAATACCCCATATAGGTTTATATGTTACTCTCTATTCATACATTTTACAAGTTTCGAAGTGTGCATCTGTCTCCATGTTATAAGTGGTCTTGAAGAAGGAAAAGTTTTCTGAAAGTTGAAACTCTCATTTTTCATATGCTTGGCACGTCTGTTTGTCCATGCATCACATACAAATGATTATATTTTATCTGGACTACTGGGTCAGCCAGTGAGAGGTAAGGTTGCAAGTTGAGTATTTGAAATAAAATTACTTGAATTCATGGATAGTAATCTCTTTCTGTTTTTATTCCAGTTCTGAATCTCATTATTTAAAATGACCCCTCTTGGTAGCCCAAAAAGTGAATATTTTTGTAGCATGAAGATTTCTAAAACCGTATCACCCAGACAGTCTAGCTGTTTCAGGGATTTTTTGAGTCACTTATGAAAGGAAACCTG